AAATGTCATAAATTTTTTCACTAGACAAAGATTTATAGATTTTCTAAAATATAATATACATTATATATATACATATATATATACACACATACATATACACACAAAAGCTTTTCTACTGTGCTCGATAAAGGCTTGAGAAAAAACAACAACAAAAACAGAGAAATTGGAAAACATAAACTAAATAAAATGGGAGCACTAAGTTTGAAATAGAAAAAGTGAAACAAGCTAGATAAAAGTAAAACATCATCATACAGTATAGTTGTTTTTAAACGTGATTAGAAACACATCTGGAGCTTTGGAAGAAGAAAGCAATACTTGGGCGTTTATTTGCATTTTTCAAAAAATTCCAAGATGAATAAAAATTCTTATGCATCTGGATTTTAAAAAGTGATTACAAGTTTTTCTGTTAAATGGTAGTTTTAGCGATATAGAATCTATTATCCTCTGTTGACCAATCATGATACAGTGGTATTAAGTGTATTCACTTAATTAATGGTGATTAATAACTACATAATCGCAATAGTAAAATCACATAAAATATGTAAAATCACATAATCACAATAGTAAAATATGTTTATCAGTTTTCACAATCAATAGCCAGACCAAGAAAAAAAGATAATTACAACTACAAGCAATAATGGAAATATGTTTAACCTAACAATATAGAATACTTACATACAATTTGGGGGGTTAAGTAGAGTGATGTGGTAAGTGGATGGGCATACATGCACATACTTCTATTTATCCAGCCAGTCTATGTCTTTTGGTTGGTGCATTTAATCCATCTACAGTTAAGGTAATTATTCATATATATGTTCCTGTTACCATTTTCTTAGTTCTTTTGGGTTTATTTTGTGTAGGTCTTTTCTTTCTCTTGTGTTTCCTGCCTGGAGAAGTTTCTTGAGTACATGTTGTAAAGCTTGTTTGGTGGTGCTGAATTCTGTTAACTTTTGCTTGTCTATAAAGCTTTTCATTTCTCTGTCAAATCTGAATGAGAGTCTTGCTGAGAATAGTATTCTTGCATGTAAGTTCTTCCCTTTCATCTCTTTAAATATATCCTGCCATTCCCTTCTGGCTTGTAGTGTTTCTGTTGAGAAATCAGCTGATAACATTATGGGAGTTCTCTTGTATGTTATTTGTCATTTTTCTTCGTTGCTTTTAATATTTTATGTTGGTTTTTAATTTTTGTCATTTTGATTACTATGTGTCTCAGTATGTTCCTCCTTGGGTTTATCCTGCCTGGGACTCTCTGCACTTCCTGCACTTAGTTGACTATTTCCTTTCCCATGTTAGGGAAGTTTTCAGCTATTACCTCTTCAAACATTTTCTTGGGTCCTTTCTCTCTCTCTTCTCCTTCTGGGACCCCTATAATGCGAATGTTGGTGCATTTAATGTTGTCCCAGAGGTCTCTCAGGCCATCTTCATTTTTTTCATTCTTTTATCTATATTCTGTTCTGTGGCAGTGATTTCCACCATTCTGTCCTCCCAGTTACTTGTCCATTCTTCTGCCTCAATTATTCTGCTATTGATTCCTTCTAGTGTATTGTTCATCTCTGTTTGTTTGTTCTTTAGTTCCTCTAGGTCTTTTGGCAAACATTTCTTGCATCTTCTCAGTGTTTGCCTCCATTCTTTTTCTGAGACCCTGGATCATCTTCACTATCATTATCATGAATTCTTTTTTCTGGAAAGTTGCTTATCTCCATTTCATTTGGTTCTTTTTCTAGAGTTTTATCTTGTCCCTTCATCTGGGACAAAATCCTCTGCTTTTTCATTTGATTAACTTTCTGTGATGTGGTTTTCCTTCTAGCTGCTATTGGATTGTGTTTCTTCTTGCTTCTTCTGTCTGCTCTCTAGTTCATGAGGCTAAGGGGCTTCTATAAGCTTCCTAATTAGAGGGACTGATAGTGGGAAAAACTGGGTCTTGCTCTGGTGGGCAAGGCCGTGTTCAATAAACCTTTAATCCAATTATTTGCTGACGGATGGGGTTGTGCTCTCTCCCTGTTAGTTGTTTGGTCTGAGGTGTCCCCACCCTGTGGTCTACAGGCTCTATAGTAGACCTCCAAGGGGACTTATGCCAGGGGCCCCTTCCCGGATTGCTGCTGCCAGGGCCTCCATCCCTGTGGGGAGCCACTGCCAACCCACACCTCCATAGGAGACCCTCCAAAACTAGCAGGTATGTCTCATTCAGTCTCCTGTGGGGTCACTGCTCCTTTCCCCTATGTATTGGTGCACACAAGGTTTTGTTTGTGCCCTCCTAGAGTGGAATCTCTGTTTCCCCCAGTCCTGTGGAAGTCCTGAAATCAAATCCCACTGGCCTGCAAAGTCAGATTCTCTGGGAATTCCCAGTACCTTTGCCAGATCCTCAGGCTGGGAAGCCTGATGTGAGGCCCAGAATCTTCACAACAGTGGGGGAGTGGGGGAACTTCTTTGGTATTATTGTTCTCTAGATTGTGGGTCACTCACTTGGTGGGTATGGGATTTGATTTTATCGTGTTTGCACCTCTCCAACCATCTTGTTGCAGATTCTTCTTTGTCTTTGGACATGGGGTATCTTTTTTTGGTGGATTCCTGCATCCTCCTGTCAATGGTTGTTTCACAGCTAGTTGTGATTTTGGTGCTCTTGCAGGAGAAGATGAGTGCACATCCTTCTACTCCACAAGGTAGATTCTTAACCACTGGATCACCAAGGAAGCCCCTTGATTACTTTATAATCACAGCCCATATATCTTGTCTCTTGACCTCAATTACAAGTGCTTCTTGGCAAGGACACTTTTCAAGGTGGCAGTGTGCACAGTCTGTTAACACCTTCTTCATAGATCTTAAAAGACATCCATGTGAACTGAAGGTTATGAGTTAAATAGTAACAATAATAATAGTAATAAATAACACAGTATAAAATTAAAATTAAAGTACATATTTTGTATAAGACACTTGCTGAGCATATATATTCATCCTATGCATTAAACGCCTCTTTAGTGAACTGAATGGTCAGGCAACACAGAGACTTAACTAACACCTCCCCATTCCTCTACCTGAACTGCTCAGTTTTAAGGCTGAATTATTTCTTTGCCTTTAGTCACTGATAACAGCTCATGTCAAGTCTGGACTGCTTATTTAACAATGTTATTCTGCATTCCCATAGACAGAAGCCCTTCCTTCTGAATAACATTCAAAGGTTATGATTAGTCTCTACGTCTTATTTTTCTCCTGTGGTTAAAAAAAAAGTGTCATTATTTATTTAAAAATTGATAATTACCTTTAGGGAAACTACTGGTTTGGAATGTAATTAATACAAATGACCTACTACCCCATGATAAACAAACCAAATCCAAGTCAGCAAAGAAGTCAGATGTTTAATATTGGCCCCATGTACTCAAAGTACCATGGACTTGAACCACATTAATAATTGTACTAGTTTAATGTAGCTGCTATAACAAATTACCACAAAAGGAGTGGCATAAAAGAACAGCAATTCACTCCCTCACAGTTCAAGAAGTCTAAAATCAAGGTGTCACCAAGGCACACTCTTCTTTGGAGGCTCCAGGGGAGAGTCCATTCCTTGCAGCTTCTGGAGGCTGATGCCATTCCTTGGCTTATGGCTGCATCTTTCTCTGCTCCATCTTCACATTAACTTCTCCACGTGTCTCTTTTCTTCTGTGCTTGTGCTATCTTCCCTTGCATCTTTCTTGTAAGGACACATGTAATGGCCTTTAGGGCCCACCCAGATAATCCAGGGTGATTGCCTCACTTTGAGATCCTTAACTTAATTACATCTACAAAGACTCTTTTTTTCAAATAAGGTAACTTTAACAGGTTCTGGGGATTAGGGTATTATTAATAAATTATCTTCTTGAGGGCTGCTACCATTTAACCCACTATAATGATCAATAATTAAAAAATAAAGACACTTATTAACATCTCATTAAAAGTTCAAAATAGCTAAAAAACTAGTAAGGAAGATTTTGTTAGAAAAACTGAATATGTAAAAAATAGTAGTGGTTGTTAATATGCTTACCAAGACAATGGAGATACTAGTTGAATATACAAATAGGCACAAATTGTATCTTCAGTTACATCTGCCTATAAAGATAGTACAACTAGCAGTGTCATCATTTCAAAACAATAAAGATAAGCCTATAAAACTATAGACTTTCAATGAGATATTATCTTGAGAATAAAAGATGCTAGGCATAAGTATGGAAAACAGGAAGAAGGCAAGCCATTTTTGATCCAGAGATATCTTTAAAAACATGTGATACTCTCATTCACTTGGGATTAAGGTGGGGTACCTTTGACCCACCTTGATGATTATGACTCACTAGTACTAATACTTCCATTCCACAGTTCTAATTAGTGTTGGCACTCGTTTACTTTTTTTTTGAATATTCAGGAAACACAGGAATGTGCTAAATGCTATAGAGCAGTGGTCTTAAAACTGTGGCCTGTATCATGAAGATTTTTCAGTGAATAAGGAAGCAATGATAGTTTCAAGGGAATCCAATGGAAGATCTTAAACATCCATCTGTATTCTTTCATAAATCTGAACTGCCTGAGAATCTGAAAAAAAAAAAAGGTCTCCTTGAACTATGGGCCCTTCCCCATCTTTACTAAAGAAATGCATACTTCTTACCTGTGCACAGAGTCCCATGGTATAAAATCTCCAAGGCACTAAATAAAGGAATAATTCAAATATTGGTGTAGATGCTAAAAAGGTCAATTATTTTATTAACTGGGCAAAACATCGTTTTGCAAGGCAGATAGTATCTAATTCTTTTATCAAAATTAAAGGAGGATGTTCAGCTTATAAATCATTAAAATACTTTTTGATAATAGACCATTGTGGCAAATAACTTGAAAGGAGATCAAACAATTGGGTAACAATGATAAAATTTCCATTCCCATTCCATTACACAAGCAAGATTATGCTCATTTATATTTAAAAAAAAACCATAAAGAGGTGGAAAAGGAACTCCTTGCGGGGAGGTTGAGCTGCTTGCACTATGTCTGAAATGAACAAACTGTCCGAGCTCTATGAGGAGAGCAACGACCTGCAGATGGATGTGATGCCTGGCGAGAGCAACCTTCTGCATATGGAGGCAGGCGGCGGAAGCCGGAAGCTATCCCCGAACCCCTCCCACGCCGGGGCCCCGCTGGAGGAAGGCCCAATGCAGGAGGAGGCGGCCCAGCCAATGGGGGAGCCACAGAGGCCCCGAGGCCTAGCTTGCCGGCCTAGCCCTGGGGAGCAGCCAGGCGAAATCGCAGGCACCGATTTCGAGAGCGATGACTATCAGGAAGAGAAGCCTCTCAGTGTTGCAGGCTACAGAGTATCGGCGGCCCTTGAAGAAGCCAACAAGATGTTTCTGAGAACCTCCACAGCCAGAGAAGCAGCTCTGGATGGCGGGTTTCAGATGCATAATGAGAAGACCCCATTTGATCAATTGGTTTTTATCAAAGAGCTTCTTTCACCTACGGTTGTCAATCGTCTGACCAAAGAATTCGGCTGTAGTGAGATTATTGATTGAGAGAGAATAGTTAAATGCTGTCAAGAGAGGAGGACACTGTTTGAGGAGAGACTCAGCGTTTCACTGTCTTTTGGGTTCATTCCAAGTAGTTCCGTGACAATGAAAAACTTGATTTTTTTTTTTTTTTTTTTTTTGCAGAGTAGAATAAGGTAGTGACTGCATAGTTAAGAAAAAGGAAGAAAATTGTTAAAGTATCTTAGTACTGTTGAGTCCTGTTTTGAAGAATGTCCTGAGACACTTATGGCTTTGACGTTGTTGTTTATTCAGATTAATTCCTTTGCATTGGGTAAAATATCTTTTATGTTTCACTGTAAGGAATGGCTTTGCAAGAATAAGTTATGACCAAGACAGACTTCCAGTACAAGAGTCCACTGATATTAATTATATGAGAAAAAGTAACTGATTTATCCACCTTAGGACATGAGATGTCTTTGAGTTATTTGGACTGAAAGAATATTGAGAAAACTTTAAAGATTCAACTTTGTGATCTATCCAAGCTGTGGTTATCAAAGGGTAAATTTTTAGTGTAAAATAAATCTTCTACTGAGTATTCTTCAGTATCCCAAAGGATAATAAAGTCCCAAAAGAAGTGTGTGTCATGTGTGCTTTATCTTAAAATGTTTCCAAGAACAACTGAGATTTTGTTTGTACATGTATCTTGATCATTTTTAAAGTTACTGTAATCTTTAATTCAAGAAAAATCATTGCCTTGAACATTTTTATAAGTCAAAACTTAAGATGCCATTAATAAGGTTTCAAATTTAGACAGTAAAATGTACATGAAAGTACAAAGAACACAAACTATTTCAAACATCAGTATATACTAGAGAATTTTCTGTTTCACTTGCTCTTTTTTTTTTCATTTAACTTTACAGGCAAAAGACTCTGGTTGAACTTCATAATGTAAAAACTGTTAAGTGAAAATTTTCCAGTAAAAGGAAAGCCCTACATCTAAAAAAGACACTATGAACAACCCTTAAAAGTTTTTAATCTGCCCAGAAATCTACCTCAGTATCTGAAGTTTCCCTCTGTCTCCTACTCTAATTAAGTTTGTGTTTTGGTTATGCACCAGCATTCAAGATAATAAAAGTTTCTTTTTCTATGTGAAAAAGAAAGAAAGAATACTGATGCTAAGCCTGTCATACTCTGGCAATAATTAATATTGATCTATAGGCATGTCAACTAATTAAAAAGGTACTTATCCATTTCATTTATATATATTTGTTATAAAAGTTTTATAATTTTAATGAAGATTCATTCCAGATGACTTTTAACCTTATGGATTTAGGGTTTCAGGGAAAAAATTCAAGTATATACATGTATACATATAGTTCAAAACAGCTTGTGATATAGTACCTTGAGAGGTAAAAGAGAAATAGACATTTAGACAAACAAGGACATCATTGCTCACATTACCAAGGAAAGCTTCATGGAAGTATAGTTCAGTTTTTCAATACAATTCAGTTAATCTCTAGGCATGTATCATTTAACACCTACAGTATCAAGGCACCATTGCTTACTGCCATGTAAGGTTTCAAAAGAAACAAAACAAAGTCTCTATCTTCTCAGCATGTATAATTTGGTTAACGAGGATAAGAATGGTAAAGATTTCATTAGTCAGAGGTGAAAGATGAGTAGTTCACAGGTGGATAGAATAGTATGGACCTGGGGGGAGGGGAAGAGGCAGAAAAAGGCAAGAACATAACAAATGAATAACAAGTCATCCAAAAGCAGGATATGTGACATTTGACCAATTTGAAGTGTTATAAAACAGAAAGGCTTCAAACTGAAACACCTAATCTGCTAGATCTCTAAAGTACAATGGCTATAGTGCTGAAAAACACTAAGTTAAAGCTAAAGAAAAAAAAAGCTACAGAATTCTGTAAGATAGCAAATTTGTACTGAATAAACTAAAATTAGATAAGGATTAAAATTAGTTTTAAAAGGCATTTTCACACAAATAAAAAATGGACCAATTATAACCAGATTTTTACTGGTTAAGATAATTTACAAAGGGACAGGTAGGTTATGGTATCATAGGTAAGTAGATTATGGAAGACTCCATACCCAAGGCAGTCATAAGCTTCAGGCCATAAATGTGTGTGCATACTTGGGGGAGGCAGGTAAGACAATGAAGCATGGAAAAAACATTGGAAGGGCTAGATTACAGCACTGGCAAAGGGTCTAATGTGCTAGAATTAACCACTTCAAATTAATGTTCGGGGAGTGGAATATTCAAGAAGATAACTGAGGGCCAAAGGAATGAAAGTAGAAAGATCTCTCTTATAGACTTTGCCATCAAGATAGATTTTTGTTTTAGGGAAGTTATCAGATATACATAACACTAATTGATTTTCACAAAGAAGTACATAGATGAGGTCTGTTTGGGAAATATCTGCTACATTTTGGCTTGGAAAGAAAAGATCTTTGCTAGTGCACCTGGGCTCCTTCATACAAAATTTAATTAACATCTCTTAGAAGGAAAGCTCACTGTGGTCCCCAGCTATTTTGTGAAGCTCCTCTTTCAGGTATGCTGTGACAAATTAAACCTGAGCAAATGGTTTCTGTCATGTGTTTAGTACCAAAGGGATAGCAATCAGAAGAGGAAAGAGATAGGTTTGAGATATTAAACTAAAGAGAGAAACAGGAGAATGCCATTGACTAGGAGGATTCTCCGAATATACCTTAATCCTGATGGCTACATATCTCTCTTTTTGCTAACCTGATGACTCTTTTGGATCTGGGGTGGGTGGTTTCAGAATGAAGAAATAGAGAGTTTTCTAGGCTACCATTTAAGTCAATCTTTTGAAATATTATTCCTAGAAAAACTACTATGGCTCTTCTTTCTTTTATTTATTTATTTTTTTGGGGAATTAGGTCTCAGCTGCACAAAGGCTGGGCTCGGGTGTCCCTAGAGAGAGAGAGAGAGAGAGAGTGTGTGTGTGTGTGTGTGTGTGTGTGTGTGTGTGCATGCATGGATGCATGTGAGAGACAGTGTGTGTGCGTGCGTGCATGGATGCATGTGTGTGTGTGTGTGTGTGTGCGCACGTGCGCGCATGCATGGATGCATGTGAGAGTGTATGAACTTACAAGCAAATAGGGGGATCCATTTAAGAGACAAAAGAGATATCACCACTGAATGTAGTACATGAACCTAGAATGGATCCTGAATTAGAAAAAAAATGTAATGGATATTATTGGGTCAATTGACAAAATAGGAATACAGAAGATAAAGTATTATCTCAATGTTAAGGTTACTGAACTGTGATTATTAAGAGAATTTTCTTATTCTTTGGAAACATACACTAAAGTAGCTAGGATAAGGAGACATGATGTATGCAAGTTATTCTAAAATGTAAAAAGATTATGCACATACACAAGAAAAAGTGATAAATAAAGTGAGGCTAAATATTAACAATAGGCGAATCTGGATAAAGGGTATACAGGTATTCTTTGTATTATTTTTTGCAAAATTTCTATAAACTTGAAATTGTTTAAAAGGACTATTCACTTCTCCATCAACAACAGAAAAGTCATATATATTTAGGAATTCAGAGTGACATCAGCAGGAATGATAAATATCTCAGAAAAATCCCTTCCTTCATCCAACCAATGAGATCACTGGCAAACACTGTTATTAATTAAGATTTTTGGAACTTGGAAAATTAACCAAAGGCTTGCAGCAATCCAGGAAGTGTTATTTTAAAAACTAAAAATAGAGTTACCATGCGATCCTTAAATCCCACTCCTGGGTATATACCCAGAGAAAACTATAATTTGAAAAGAAACATGCACCCCAATGTTCACTGCAGCACTGTTTACAATAGCCAAGACATGGAAGCAAACTAAACGTTCATCAACAGATGAATGGGCAAAAATGTGGTATATATATATATATATATATATATACACATACATACACACACATATATATATAATGGAATATTACTCAGCCATAAAAAAGAATGAAATAACGTCATTTGCAATAACATGGATGATCTAGAGATTATCATACTAAGTGAAGTAAGCCACACGTAGAAAGACAAATATCTTTTTTTAATTACATTTTTCATTTTGTGTTGGAGTATAGCTGATTAACAGTGTTGTGATAGTTTCATGTGGACAACAAAGGGAGACAAATATGATATTGCTTATATGTGGAACCTAAGAAAAAGATACAAATGAACTTATTTACAAAACAGAAATAGACACATAGCCATAGAAAACAATCTTCTGGCTACCAAAGGGGAAAGGGGGAAGGGATAAATTATGAGGTTGGGAATAACATATACATAGTGCTATATATAAAATAGATAAGCAACAAGGACAGGGAACCATACTTAATACTTTGTAATAACCTACAAGGGAAAATAATCTGAAAAATAATTATATATATATATATATCTCACTGTGCTGTATATCTGAAACTAACATAATATTGTAAATCAACTATACTTCGACTTTTTTTAAAAAGAGGTAGAAATGAAAATCCAGCAAACATTTATTCAAGAAAAATGGTTTTATCTCAGTAAGCCTGAGATTTGGTAGTTTTAAAATTTTCCCTATTCCCATCCCCATCCCCAACTCCAAACTAGTCTTAAAAACTGCTGCTGCTGCTAAGTCGCTTCAGTCGTGTCCAACTCTGTGCGACCCCATAGATGGCAGCCCACCAGGCTCCCCCGTCCCTGGGATTCTCCAGGCAAGAACACTGGAGCGAGTTGCCATTTCCTTCTCCAATGCAGGAAAGTGAAAAGTGAAAGTGAAGTTGCTCAGTCGTGTCTGACTCTTAGCGACCCCATGGACCTCAGCCTACCAGGCTCCTCTCTCCATGGGATTTTCCAGGCAAGAGTATTGGAGTGGGTTGCCATTGCCTTCTCCAGTTTTAAAAACTAAGAGCCCACAATTACCATGAAAACCAGCAGTCACAGGAGAGTGTAGAATGGGATTGGAGCTTTCTCAAAGCTCCATTTTCAGATAATTGCCATTATTTGACTTATTGGTTCCCTGGAATATCCCACTCACAAGCCTTGTTTTTATTTAAGCTGACTGAGATCTCTCCCAGTACAAACATCCTTTTCCCCAGGGTCATTTGTTGAAAACAATCTGTGGCAGTTGTTTAACATCATAGTTGTCTAAGGCAGTGGATAACAGATGGGGCAAACAGGCTAATGAAAAAGCTTAAAAGGAAAAGCTGGAAAAATATCTATGGGGATTTGAACAACTCTGCCATATTCCTGGGAATCTCAGTGGCCATGTTCATGTGTAGAGCTGTGATCATGCCCAGGGCTATGTGCATGCTCAGGAATACCTGAGAAGGGTCTCAACTCTCACATCTGGCTGACCTTGAGCCTCTATACAAGCAGGGAGTGAGAGCTAAAGTAAAGATGTCAACTACCTGCTTAAGTGTTGAAGACAGGCCCCCAACATACACAAAGAGCCCCTTAGCAAAGACTGGGAGATTTACTGGTTCCAAGTAGCAACCTAGACATCCATCAACAAATGAATGGATAAAGAAGTGGTGGTACATATATACAATGGAATATTACTCGATCATAAAAAGGAATGAAATGGAGTCAGTTATAGTGATGTGGATGAACTTAGAGCCTGTCATACAGAATGAAGTATGTCAGAAAGAGAAAAACAAATGTCATATATTAATGCATATATATGAAATCTAGAAAAATGGTACTGATGAGCCTATTTGCAAGGGAATAATAGAGACACAGATATAGAGAATAAACTTGTGGACACATTGGAGTAAAAAGAGGGTGGGACAAACTGAAAAAGCAGCACTGACATATGTATACTACAATGTGTAAAATAGATAGCTAGTGGGAAGCTGCTGGAAAGCACAGGGAGCTCAGCTCAGGGCCCTGTGATGACCTAGAGGGATGGAATGGCAGGGATGGGAGGGAGACTCAAAATAGAGAG